CATGGAACACTTGATGACTTATCTCAAAGATATGCACAACAACTTTTGTTAGGAAATTTAGATTCTCAACCAAAATATCTAAAAGCTGTATTTCAACCAAGGCAAAACGTCCTATCTTTATACAGACCTATTCTCCTTTTTCCAAGGGAATTGCATAAAGCGAAGAGATCAAATATTGCCTAAACAGATTTGATTCTTTATACAATTGCATCAGCTTATGCATGCTTTAAAATAACTTCCAATCTCATCAATTTATATAAGGAAACAATATATACCAAGATGAAAACAATGAAACCAAATAGGACGTACTCTCCAAGTTAAATATGAAAAAGGATATTTTAACTTTAAACCAAAATAAGGTCCAACTAGGAAAATAATCTCAAGAGATAAAATCTAATCCTCTTAAAAATAAGACTAATATAAAAGCATTTGAGTGAAAATAGCTCCAGCTAGGAATCGTATAATGAATGCATGATTGTATCATGATTTACCTGAAATCAAGTTTCTCACTTTGATCAAGTCATACTTTGAAAATCCGGAATTGAATGTGTTTCCTGGAAAAGATATTGACACACTAATTCCCGACCTATGCTAGAGTCTAGGAAATGCCAATACAATTTTCATACTAACACTTATCGTCCCTCAACTAACCAATTTCTCTCTCGCTTTGACTCTGATGCTTCTCTTTTCTTTTTTCCTTTTTTTCAATCTTGTTCTCTCTTTTGTGTGCCCAAAGGGGAAGCTTCACTCACACCAAATAGTGTCAAGGAGGTGTTACACTTGCTATGATCTAGGAAAGATTACAAAATAATTACAAGATTCTTAGGAAGGAAAGACTACAGCTGGTGCTAATATCATGGGTGATCTGCAGCTGTTACAGCTGCATTTGTAACGGTTGAAGGTGCAATTAATAATGCCTAACTTGCAAGTCTCAAATTGGGACAAACCTGTTTGGTGAATAGGTCAGCGAACTGATAAGGTGTTGAGATATGAGCAGTTCAAATCATGCGTGCTTGGAGTTTCTGATGTTACTATATGACTATCAATTTCAATGTGCTTTGATCAATTTATAATAGCTTTTTCTAGAAGCTCTTTATTAGAAGTACATTAAAAATATAATTAAAAATCCAAGTGCATTGGATTCAGAAGGATCAATTTGTGTATCTTGGATTGTTGATTCCATTAGTGAAACTGTTCTTGCTACCGCCACTCGTCAAACTAGTGCTCGCGTAGCCTGGCTTACCCTTGAGAAACGATATGCCTCCTCTAATCACCATCGCATCCTCCATCTTCGCAGCCAACTTATTCATTTCTTTCGCAATGATGTATCTATATCTAATTTCCTTGACAAAATCAATTTTATTGATGATTCCCTTGCTCTCTCTGGTTCACCGGTTGATAACAATGAGTTGCTTGCTGTCATCATGATAAATGTTGGTCATGCATATGAATATACGGTGGCGGTTGCTCAAGCTCGTGAGACACCCATCTCCTATGCTGATCTTCTTGAGGCCCTGCTCCTCAGTGCTGAGCAACGTGCCAAGTTGTGGTCCTAATTCTGTCGGTTTTGTGCTTGGCCGTAGAGGTTTTCCTATACATCATATTGGTACCTCTAACCTCTCTCTTTATGATTATGTTTATACCCTTAACAATGTGCTTCATTTGTCCCGATGTCTCTTGCCAACTCTTATCTGTAAACAAATTTGCCACCAATAATAACTGCTTCTTTACTTTCTTTTCCGATTATTATATTGTGTAGGATCTGACGCAGCACAAACAACAAAGGTTTCAAACGAAAACCTTGAGTAACAAGAAATCTGGATTCCACCAGTAATTAAGAGGAATTCTCTTGGGATAATTTTATTAAAATCTGAGATACAGAGGAGGAGCTGATGCAACGGAAGAAATGAAGTGAAGTGGCTGGCTGATACTTTCGTGAGATTCATTTAGATTTAAAAATTTATTTTTCCACTTTTAACCCATCTTTTTAAAATTATTTCAAATCAGTCCACTACAGTTTCAAAAATCATGTTTAGACCCCTAATTTTATTTCCAAAATTTCAATCTGGTCCCTGCTGTGTCGGAGCCGTGTCTTGACCGTGTCGGAGCCGTTGACTGTGTCAAAGGCGTGTCGGGGGCGTGTCGGAGCCGTGTCGGCGTGTCGGCGTGTCCGACACTCCGACACTCCAGCATTTCAGAGTGTACATGCAACATAGGTCTTAGTAATGTTGCTTTCATTGGTACCCGTGTTCATGTAATGGTTTGGCACTCTCGTCTTGGTCATCCCTCCTCACCTATTTTATAGTTTTTAATTTCGAACAATGCACTACCTCTTGATGACACCAAAAAAAATTTAATAATTTCGTTTGTCATTCTTGCTCATTGGGCAAAAGTGTTAAACGTCCTTTTACTGCTTCTTTGTCTGTTACTCATGCTCCTTTTCATCTTATTCGTTCTAATGTATGGAGTGCTTCTACTAGTTCAATTTATGGGTTTCGGTATTAAGTGCTTTTTGTGGATGACTTTTCACGCTATTCTTGGATTTCTCCCGTGAAATTAAAATCAGAGGTTTATTCCCATTTTGTTAAATTCCAAACCCTTGTTGAGAATATGTATTTTACTAAAATTAAGGCTTTACAAACTGATGGGGGAGGGGAATACACTAGTCGAGCCTTTACTCAATTTTTAGCTCATCATGGCATTAAACATCATCTTTCATGTCCACATCATCCCGAACAAAATGGGTTCACGGAAAGTAAACACCACCATATAGTGGGGGGCGGATCCGCTGTCCCCAATTTGGTGTCTCCTTCGTGTCCCTTCTCTAATTATTCGACACATGTCATATAACTTAACAGAAAATTAACTTTGTTAACTTGTTTTATTTTATTATTAAGAAAAATCCTTTAAAAAATATATAAAAAGATCCCCGAGACAAAAGTGCAGTGAACTTAAAAACCAGTACATCACAAAATGGAAGAGAGATGAGACATGAGAAATCACAATCCCTAAGAAGAAGACATCTGAATCACAAAATGAAACCAACTCATCTTTTACGTAACACAAATGCTAGAACGATGAAGAGACTGTTTGATTTATGAGAAAACAAAGGGAAGATACATGATTGTCGAAATCAATTTGGAGGATTCTGAGCAAAAAAAGAAAAAACCAAGAAATCGATTTGGAGGGATATAACTCCTATTCAACCTCTCAGTTCACAAAATCAAATGAAATTGAAATCCAAAGAAACAAATCAACCAAAACCCAAAACA